AAAAAAAAAAAAGAAGAAAAAAACAACCTCTTGTACAAGCATATGGGCAAACTGACTCGTAAAGACATGTCAACAAAAGAGCACCTTCATAAAAGTCAGAGCAAGATGACTCACACGCAGTTTTATGGTAGTTTGCAAGTGTTTGCAACTCGCTAGCAAAATTAAAAAGCCACCTTTGTTAGGAGTGTCTCCCCCCTGTGAAAAAAATGTGCAGTGGCTGAAACGGAAGAAAGCCTCGAGGGCATGTATGTGTCTCGGCCAGATAACTATCTCAAAGGCTGTGAATCAGTGGGCTTAGTCAGACAAAAGGCTAACAGTGCGAGAGGAAACAAGAAAGGGAGAAACCAAAAAAAAAAAAAATAGAAGGGCGCAGAAACAGTGAGACAAGAAGGAGTAGAAGTGCACATTTCTAGTCGGAGTAAGGAAGGCTGGAAGATGGCGTGATGAGGGGAAGAGACGGAAACCCTAATTTCACAATGTCAGAGTAATGGCTTCTCAGAGTGCTGTTCCACTGTGGTGAGAGCCAGCTGTGTGGCGGGCCCAGTGTTTGACACGTTAAAGATAACAAAGAGAACCAACGTCAGGCCATGAAACACTGCTCCACGACTCAACTCCTGGTTTGCCTCACAGGCAGAAAAACTCAGCAGAAGCCATAAAATGTTAATATGAAAATGTATTAAGTCAATTTTCCCTCCATAAAATCTACCTAGACTGAAGCATTTCATTTTGTTATGCTGAATATTCTTCATTATGACTGTACAAGTGCTAAAAATAAAATCTAATGGAGCAAATGTTCACCATGTGTTTGAACCACTGCACAAAAAAAAAAAAAAAGGTGTTCAAATTGTGTCTTCAGAATTAACTCATTAACAAATTTCCTTCCAGATTTCTCATACAGGGTTAGAGACAGATGGGGTAGAGGCTGGGGCAGATGAAAAGAAACAGACAAACGAGTTCATTTAAAAGATGTTTTTTGGCGAATACACCAAGCTAACCTCAATCCAGCTCTTTGGGATCTGCATAAATTGAGGGCTTGGGGAGTTGTGGCAGTATCCTTGGTATTATGCATATTAGTTTAAGGCTGTCACTGAGAATCAGCAAGGGTGTCCATCCCACTGCGGCTAGGCGCTGCTAATTATTGGATCAGAGATAAAGTGCTTTTTAGCGCTCGCTCTCTGTGCGCTTTGAAAATGGGCTGTGGTGAAAAAAAAAAAAAAAGAAAAAAAGAGAAAAGAAAAGCTGCCCAATTTTGGGTTCAGGGAGAGCCACTGGGTCAGGAATCGATCAAGTGAAAACCTTTGTCTGGTTGGGGTGATTTTGACGTAAGACCAGATTTGTCACATCTGCCCGGCTTTTTCTGCTGCCGAAAGGGAGCGGAATAACAGGATGCTACCAGACTCACTGGGAGGGAGAGGGAGAGGGAAGGACATAGATGGAAGGAAAAAGATCCAGAGAGAGTAAAGAAGATTGAAAGAGGGGAAAATAGACTTGCCTTTGCTACACTTTGGGAAAGTTAATCCTTTCAACAAAAAAAAAAAAAAAAAAAAAAAAAAAAAAAAAGGGACAGGTGACAGTTTGGAGAGGGTTTGACATGTCACATGAATCAATATATCTCAACATATCTTTCACATGTTAAAAAAAAAAAAAAAAAAAAAAAAAAAAAAAAACGACTACAGGAGTTCCTTTGTTATGAAAGCATTATAGACACCCTGAAACCCCAGATACCATGAAATCTTATTAAGGTATAGCATCTCATTAAGTTCCTGCCAAACAAGCTGCCGAGTCCTGTTCTGCTGCACAAAGATGCAGAGAGAGACAACACATGTAGTCCATATGGGGCTGAGCTGAGCTGACATCCTAGCCTCCACCAGCAGTAAAAAAAAAAAAAAATGTTGTGGGCTTGCTAAACTGCTTTCAGATGTATTATTTAGTAAACACTGAGTGGATGAGCTGTCTGATTTATTAAGCAATGTTTTTCAAAACCACTTCTTTTTTTTTTTTATTTGGACATTTTTTTAATGCATGATGGAAGAAAAATAAGACAAAAACTGCTGACACAACATCTGTCCATTCATCCAACCAGTGCTGAATACAAAAACATTGAATTGACCAGTTCAGCATATATATACACACACACACATACACACACGCACACACACACATATATACATGCAGAAAATCCAATGCCTATTGTGCTGAGGCCATTGAGCAAACTCCACACACAAAGCACAATCCCTCTTCAGGCCTTAACACCACTGACACAATGACTGTGGCGAGGTTAGGGTGGACCTTTTTAGGATTAGTCTGTGAGTACATACTCTCAAATCAGTGTTTAGCAGTTTAAAAAGACTTGACATATACTGAACTGGACCAGACAGGAAGGGGATAGAGGGGTTGTCTTACCATTTTCTCAGATGTACGCCGTTTTCATTCTCTGGCCTGTACCTGCAGAAAATTGCATCTTTTAAAAAAAATTTTTTTTTGAGGTATCTGGACGGCACAGATCTTTATCGTCCATTTGGCCTACACAGTGTACAGACCAAAAGCGAAAAAAAATTGACATTTTCCTTAAGATGTAATTCTCAATGGATTACACTTTCAGTGCTAAGGGGAAGCTCAAAAGCGCAGCTAAACAAGGTCAGCAGAAAGACATACTCAAGTGCAGCAAGCAAACAAATAGTGCAAAGCCCAGAATCAGTAAGTAGTCGTATAGAATGGACAGACTAATCCCAAAGTAGGTGTAATATGTGAAGACAGGGATGAGAGAGTGGCAAAGGACAAACAAATGGAGGGATGTATACAAAGAAAGTCTCCTAGGAAGTGAGTGAGTGTACCGCCTGCACAAGACAGTCTGCTGAAGCCAGAGTAAGGATAGCAGGTGACATTAGTCTGACATTAGTGTATACCTCTACTTGTCCATATCTACCGGGAGATTAGTGTGTTTTTACAGAGTGTGCATTAGTAAAAGAAATGCAGCAATATACTGTAAAAGATGATGTGTATTCTATGGGAAGATGGTAGAACACAACCTCAAGATGCAACAGACAAAAAAAAAAGAAAAGAAAAAAAGAACGAACTGCAGGGGCTGTTGCTTACCTGTGGCCGATTCCTGCATCTTCTCCCTCTTCCGCTTCTTCTTCTTTCCCTAAAAAATATACAGAGGAACGCATAAAGTGTGGCTCCAGCACTCACGCTCACTAGACCACTCTGATATCCTGCTGCTGACTGCCATGTTCACTCATCCCCTGCTGGGCATCCAACCAGCATCCCTCAGACTCCGGACTCCACCGCAAACTGCCACGCTGAGAGGGACGGATCAACCAAGAGTCTGATTTGATAGAAGTGTTAAGTGCTGTACCTGCTCTCAACTGGTTTTAAATGATTTACTTTATATCTTTCTTTTTTTTTTTTGGAGTTGTGACTATCCCAGTGGTAGCTTATTCCACCGTTGTGACCAGTCTGTGTCAGATTTCCACTACCTTTGAAGTCCCTCTAATGACAAACATTAACATGAAGTGCAATTAAAAATGCTCACTGTAATTAGGCTAGTCTAGCTCTATGGCTGTGAAGAGCGCCACTCTTTTTCCAGCGAGGTGGTGGGAGTTTGTAAGGATTTATAGCTTATGCTAAATCCCCAGGGGGGAGACTATAGGTATAGATAGCAGCGTAGAGTCGTTCTAGTCAAATATGAGCAGCACTTTGGTTTCCTGCTGCAAAGTCTGCTAATCCACTTATTCATGAGCTAATCTGCCTTCTACTGCTGCGGCAGACAGGGGAGAAGAGAGACTAAGTGAGAGTGGGTGAGAGAAAGGATGAGAGAGGGGGTACACAGCAAAACTATGAATGCTACACGCTCTCAATGCCAGTGCGTTACCTATTTTGGGTGTCTCCAGGCACGATGTGCTGCCTGTATACAGCTGAGGGAGGGGTCACAGAGCAGTGCTCACAGGGAGACAAAATTCGTTTGTAAGAAATGTTTTGCATTAAACATATAAATTTCCCTTTATCTTTCCAGCATGCCAAGTAGAAAGCAATTCCTCTACTTTTTTCGCTACCCGTCAAATGTGTTTGTACTAACAAAGCTGGAAATGAAACGGGAACTGGGCTAAGTGTCACTGGCTGATGTAGTGTATCTTTAACTGTGCTGTGCTTCACTGGGAGCAGAGCTGTGAAACTGTCTCCCCCTCAGCGAGGCATTTTGGCAGTGGAGCAGTGGAGGCAGAAGGAGGAGGGATGCTGCCGGTGTCCGAGGGGAGGCAGATAAACACCACAAAGCACTTTGGTGGTGGAGTGAATGTGAGTGCCGGAGCCACACTTTTTAATAAAGGCTGGTGCTCTCTCTCTCACAAATTCATACACACCACATACTCAGAGACCGATTTTGACAACTTCCAGCCACACGCACGCACACACACTCACACACACATACACAGTAATATACACCAAAAAACAGGCTGCATCTTAAATCCAGCTGAACCTCCCACATTCACAAACAAAATGGGCAGCTAGGGGAGCAAAGGTTGATGCTGCTGAACGCTGTATGTGCGATCCAGCCTCCACAACTCAGCCTAACTGTTGCTTTTTACATCCAAAGCTCCACGCTGATATGGAACATCAAAGGCTAGCATAACCATTACCAGGCAATTTTCACTCACTGTGGCAATAATAATGTCCATGATGCTACAATCCATTTTAGTGTGGATGGTAATATAGCAGTGAATCACAGTGTTATGAATTACACATTAGGCTGAAACAAAGGGGTCCACAAATGGACGCTATTAGCATAGAGCGTACTAGTGTGAGTGAGTGTGTGTGTGTGTGTGTGTGTGTGTGTGTGTGTGTGTGTGTGTGTGTGTGTGTGTGTGTGTGTGTGTGTGTGTGATTATTGTGTGCCATTTAAAGAACATGTCATGCACCACTGACAAACAAACAACGTAAACTAACAAACACACACGCAGGCGCACCTCTGCCAATCTGTTCTGTTGATACTTACATAATTGTCTCGAGCGGACCAGCCTGGGTAGAGCTGCATGTGGAGCTGCCGTTCCTTGCGGGCTAACTCATAATACTTAGCTTGCTCTTCCCGAGATAAAGCATGCCACTGTTTCAGTACAAAGGAGATTAGGGGAAAAAATAGCATACAGTCAATTACTGGCATGCACTCGCATGTTCCCTGCATAGAGAAGTGTGCTGGTGTTTTGGTAAAGAAAAAAAAAATCCTTTTCAACTTCCAAACGTTTGGTGTAGAAAAAAAACAGAGGGGGGGGGATAAAAGAGAGACAAAGAAGAAGGGGAAACATGATGAAGAGATTAACATGCACAAGAGTCGAGAGGGAGAGAAGAGAAGAGAAGAGAGGGGGAAAAACTTTGATTTCATATCAAAACACTGGTTCCAATTTAGCAGCGCTTTTTATTCAAACTATGTCAGCGAGCAATTACCCTATGCAGGCCACAAACTAGGCTTTGCTGTGGCTGGCTGCCTCAACCGCTAGGCCTATTCGTTAAGGCTTTTAACATGGCTCTGTGGTTCCACTCTTTTCCCAATCCTCAAAAGGAACAAATTTTGTCATTTACAACCATGCCATTATCCAGGCATATTTTATTAAAGCCAATTTGATTAAATGTCACTTAGATAAGCAGTGTGTATCTGTGCTGCTGAGAGGGAAGTAATTGGCTGGGGCAATCATTATGACAATAATCACAACTAGTTCATAAAAAGATGTATGTTAATAGAGAGGAATCTTTGTCCTTTTTAAACTAATTGGGCCTGGAAAGTCAGCCCATGCAGCCTCTTCAGAGCCACGGCTTGAACTGTGATCTCTTGGTGATTTAACCCAATCCACAAAGATAAATTAGAGCGAAAGGGCGAATGAGACTGTTGTATCAGAGTACACCAACTACGTGACCTACCCTTCGTCCCAGAATCTGATTGATGGCAGCACTCTCCTTCAGCGTGCACTCGGCGACCACATTCGCACGCATCTCTTTCATGTAGAGCATGAAGGCGTTTAGCGGCTTCTTGATGTGCGGTCTTTTGGGCTCCTGCTCCTTTCTCTGTTCGTGCTGGGGTTTCCTGCGGAAAGAAAAGGGAAAAAAAAAAAAAAACACGACAACGACACAGATGGAGGTAAATAAGGGGAAGAAACAAAATAGTTTGAAAATGAGAGAAATAAAAAAGAGCAAAGCAATAGGAGAGGGAAATTGCGGTGCCGCAATGGCGACAAAAGCAGCGAGGGTCTGGTTGCTCTTAGCCAATGGTGAGAGGGGTTGCCACGCCATGGGCCCCTGCCTCTTTAATCATGTGCAGTTGTACAGTTGCAGCCCTTCATGCGGAGAGATTACTTCACCAGTAATGGCAACCAAACCCCTCTTGTCCACAGCACATTGCCAATCGCTTAAAACCAAATGCTCAAACTCACACACTCAAAAGACTCGACTCCCACTCCTGACTTACTTTCTAACAATCTTTTTGATACCAATACAGTCTTGGTACGAGGATGGCCATGAATAATGGAAATATCAGTGATAACCACTTCAGGGCGCTCACAGCACTTCCCACTGCACACACTGGGGATGTGAATTCAGTTCATCCGAGCACTAATCTAGGACCTGTATCTGTTGCTGGCTAAGTGTGTTGTGATCCCTGAGGCCAAATGAAGCATAGGCCTGTTATCAGTAGAGCACGGGCCCTCGCTGCCTATCTGCTCACATCAAGGGAAAGAGAACAAGGCTCTGACAGAGGGTTTGTTCAGCTATGGCCTATTGTAGTGGTGGAGTGCACAAATACCTGGAAGTATGTCATCTCAGAAAACTGCTGATAGAGAGGTGAGGGGAGAAGCTTTAAAAAAAAAAAAAAAAAAAAAAAAAAAAAAAATAGTGTGAGGAGAGTGTTTGATGAAGGCCTTTTGTGTTTGCATGACTCACATGTGCATGATGTCTGTTTCATGCGGTGGCTCGTGTTTGACCTGTGGGTTGACGATGGCCGGGTGGGGGATCCCTGTGGCGTGGGGACCTGGGGGGCCGGGCACCATGTGGTGTGAGAACCTGCAATAACAGCCGATAACATGCACTGTAATCAACCACAGAGGACAAAGAAGGTATAAAGCATGGGAAGGGTCCACTAAGTGTCAAAACAGAAGGAAGGAAGGAAAATGATAAAGGCATATTTATTTGTTTGATGTTCAATGCTCAATATCTAGAATGACAGTTTTTTAGCTGAAAGAGGGGATGATGAGAACAGGGTCACGTGTGTGTGCAGTTCTTTCAGCTCTAGATCTTTTTATAGCACTGATTTCATCAACGTCTTCCTTGCAATATTAGAGTGGAGCAGTGGAGTAAAGCTTTAATGTCCCTGAGGGGCAGTCTGGCTTACAGACAGCAGTCAATAATAATTATAATAATATTATGCTGGACCAAAAGAAAATTACCATGAAAACCCTAAAACATTGTAAAATTCAAAATGTTGACCACTTATAGCAGTAATTCTCACCCTGGGGGTCGTGAGCCAAACAAGATGAATTTATTGGGATGTGCCATGAAACTAAATTCTTATACACAAATGTATGTTTATGTGTCAGACTTTTCTTTATTGTTGATTCTTTCTTATGAAACACTGTAAAGTTATCCTTTCGGGTCTCTAAAATGATTTAACTGCTCACAACTTACATGACATGCAGCCTGTGACGAGGGGTCACAAGCCTCATATTCAGAGATCATTAAAAAAAAAAAAAAAAAAAAAAGGTTGGGAATCACTGGTTTATATGGTGTATGGGGAATTTCATCAGCGTTGTACACTCTATGCTGTTGTGTATCGACAGCTCCAAGGACTTAACAGTAACTTATGAGTTCAGGAACTTCAAGTTTCCATGAGTTGTGCTTGGGCTTGGCCTCTCACTCACCTCAAGAACAATGAAGATCAGGCAAAATAGGTGGAAGTGACAGGGAAACACACTGTGGTCTTTAGTATTTTTTTTAAATTCAGTTTGAAGTCGTTTGAGGTCCTTTCAAACCTCCTTTTTAATATACAGCTCTACTACACATGAGGGAATCTTTGGATGTGCTTTTCATCCCTTGTCACATCTTAATCTCGTCTTGTCATCAGATCAGAGGGTACAAGAAGTCTGTATCTCCATTTTCCATTTTGTTCCATTTTGTTCCAGTTGTTTCGGCACTCACTCCATCATGCCGTGGCCAAATTTCAATCAACTGGATGCTGTTTTTTTGTTTTATAAAAAAAAAAAAAAAAAAAAAGATTAGAGTATAAACTATGACCAAGGCTCCAAATCACAACTGGGTTCCCTGTGAAGAAAAGAGGGAAAATCCTTAGAGAAAAAGTTCTAAGTTTGGAAAAATCTAAATGGGCTAAAATATATTGTAGGTATTCAGATTTAAGGAGGAAAGCAGGAGGAGACCGTCTGGACTTCAACCATTGCCTGATCTTGCACCTTACATCTGGCTTCACTCAGTGTATGCCTGAAAGCCCTGTCTTTGCAAACATCACACAGAAAGAGACACAGAGGAAGTAGAAAGAAAGAAGGTAAGATATGTTGGGAAAAGAAAAAAAAAAGGCACAGGAAATGGAAGTGACAAGGATGCAGTCAAAGAAGGCAGAGAGAACAGAGGTAAAAGAAATCCTAAAAAAAAACAAAAAACAAAAAAAAAACATGAAGTGAGGCTCAGAGAGAGAAGTGCTTCCAGAAACCTTTGATGGGGGTTAAGCAGCCATATGGTTATGCAGGGGCACGTATGCGATGATGTGTTTGACATGTGCTGGGCACACAGAGGAGCGGTGTGGCTGAAGCCACAGCAGCGCAGCAGGAAACAGCCAGCAGCAGACCTCCCTGTGAAGGCTGCTGCTGCTGCTGCTGCAGGCCAGCTTTCCTCCATTCAGTACACAGAGCTACTACAGTGTCAGTGTGCATCTGATGTGAAGAGACAGGATAGTAATTGCTCCCCATTTTACATGAATCAACTGTGCATGTTTTTGTTTTTATTTGTCTGTGACTCACCATCCCAGCGGTGGTGTTATCTGCCCCACTCCTCCAGGAGATAGGGAGTAGAAGTTGGTCATGTCTGGTCCAGGGTGATGCCTTGGCATTCCTAAAAACACAACAGTGGTACACAACTGTTAAATAGAGAGAATGCAAATACAGGCTAACAATGTCAATACTTTTTGAGTACCGACCAAAATGTGCCCATAGCACCGAGTTTCAAAACCTTGCAAGTATTAAGTGCTTTATCGGGTCTTGTTTAAAAATATTCTTTGGTCAGACATGTTCTGATTTAAATCTTCTTTTTAATTAAATAACTTTATATCATTTTATTTCAGCAAGCCTTGTGTGGCTGATTGTGATAAGACAACATTTAACACTGCTGCTTTTTAATGAGCAAAAAACATGTTCACATTCCTCAGAGCACTGGTATCAGACCTGTGCTCTGTACTGGTCGATACCCTTTGTTTTGTTTCTGGAATCTGCTCTGGGAGAGAAAGGGTTGGACTGGTGCATCCCTTTAATGATGAACAGTGTCTGAACATTCATTCTTGACCTGGGAAACAACAGTTTGACAAAAATAAATAACTCTTAACTCAAGGTTTACTTACTAGCTTTTTCCAAAACTGTTCAGCCTGTGAGCGAACAGACGTGTGAATGGTGGTTACAAATTCCCCAACAAGCTAGTCAGTGGACCTTAAATTCAAACTTTTTTTTTTTTCCTAATCAATCAACTGTGTTTAAACCTTATTGCTCATTCCCACCTTTCCCATCCTGTTCTACTACTACTATGAGGACAGTGCACATGTCGGGGCTTGAACTCACATTATCAACCAGCAGAAAAGGATCATATTTTCTCCGCTTAGCTCGATTCCTTCCAGTGTGTTACAGCGTCTTTAAGCTGGTTAATTGAAGCTTCCTCTTTGTGGCAGAGGCTGCAGCTCTCCCTGTAGACACGGGATTGACTTGGACTAACTGTCGGTGGATCTTCAGGACTAAGCTGTTCCATCTCCAGCTCGCCTGCTCCTACTGGGTTTCAAGGTCGAGGGGTCTCTTTTTGTAAGAAGACTTAATGAGAACGGGGCTGCAGGATGAGTAAAATCTAACAAAATCTACATCGGCTCATGTCTTGTTGTGTAACACCGATTTGATTTTCATTTTAGCAAAGTAATAGCAAAGTAATAACGCTAAAGTCAGTACATATCATGAAATACTGTTCATATACAGACAAGTGGAATGTGCTTACACGTGCTCTCTCTCTCTCTCACTCTCACATACACACACACACACACACACACACACACACACAAGAGGGCAAATGCCTCTAGATTAGCACCATCTTCTAATCCCTGCTGGAGCCAGCCTTTTCTCCCTGCCTCTATCCTTTCTCTTCCTCCTTCTCTCTCCAGGCTGTGGTCTGAAGGGGCCTCCCTCCTGAGAGACAGGGCGAACGGGGGGCTTATATCTCCAAAGCCAATGTTGCAACGCTGGATTCACAGCGCGCATAGCACTACCCCCTGCCCACTAATCCACCACTGAACACTCCTTAGGGCCCTCCTGAGGGCAGAAGGGAAGGAGGCAAGGGGTGAGGCGGCAAGGGAGGAGAAGAGAGCCCCAGCGTGTTAACCTTGTCACTCACATCCCTAAGGTGCCTAATTACTCACCCCCACCACCCCCGCCCCCATTTCACACGTTCCTGTTGACACCCAACAGAGCTTCACACTTGCATTTCCTCCCGAAACAAGCAACACTGTCACGATTCTCATTGTAAACCCTGGAAATAATCTGTATTCAAATTAGTGCTCCCATCTTATGCATTTTCTTAAAAGAAAATACAATATAAAAGGTTTAAATATAAAATGTTCAAAGGCCCCCCACCCTCAACCTTCCATCCTGCATTGCGGCCCTGTGCATATTAGAGCTCATAATGAGAAAATCCATGATTGTTTTTCATAATTAACGAGCAGATCAAAGTCTGAGCCCACTAAGGAAGGCAGAGCATCAACTGGTCGATATGTGGAGAGAGAAAGAAAGAGAGAGGGAGGGACAGCAAGAAAGAGAATAAGAGAGGATTCGTTTTAAGCATTTTCAGCTCAGCTCTGCTGGTATACACACATGAATATGCCTGGGGAAATCATTTGCAGCTAATTCTGCAACTGGATCGCTTGGACATGGATTTCTGTTGGGCTTGGAGTGCAAAGATCAAATATAGTAAGAAAAAGACCTCCAGGGGTCCTCTCCGCTCTTCTGTGTTTGTCAGAAACTTAGTGGATCTCTATGGACCAACATGAAGAGTAAAATGGAGAGTATTACCTCATAAATTGTACTACATGACAACAAGTTTCTGAAATCTAATGCATACATGTGCACATGGTGTATCTACTGCTCAGTTCCGTGTCAACACAATTCTTTCCTGCTTCTATTTGAAAAATATTCCGACAAAATGTGTCTGGCGCATGATTCCTCTGACATATGTGGAGCACAATTTCTTTATATGTCTCACTCCCTTCATCTCACTAAGCTGTGTACTCTTGTGCTCAGTTCTATTTTGTTATTTATAGCTGATCCCTTAGAACCTCCCAGCGTCATCATCATCTTCATCATCGCCTACATCCTGTCTGATTCCTCTCCTCCTTTTCAACTCGCAGCCGCAGGAGTAGAAAAAGCCGGGAGAAGAGGAAAAAAAAAAAAAAAGGTGCAGGACGAAAACTATGGAGGGCCCACGTCTGTTCACGTTCGTGAGAAGCTGCCAAAGTCTCCAGCTGCGCGGGGCTGAGGAGCTCGTCCAAATTGCTGAGGAGCTCCTCTGCAGCTGTCAGAGCCGTAGCTTGATGTTGTTACTGAGAGGCAAAGAGTGCAGAGGGAGAGGGCAGCAGAGCACAGTGCGCCATCCCACAGGCTGCTTCAAATGAGTTCATGCTTACAGCTGATAGGAGGGATGACTTTGCTGTGACACATTTTGGTTTGTGTGTCTCTATTGATTCCTGACAGTGTTGGCAGATAGGGATGTAAAAAGTAAAATCAGGTACCGGTTCAGTTTGGTGCAAACCGAGTTCACCTTTCAGCATTACTGCAAAATTTTGAACAAAATCCCATTTTATTTCTGAGCCTGTTTAGCCTTGTTTATTTAAGGGTGATGTAAAACTTTAAGACCTTTTGAACGCCAGTTCAAATAAAAATTTAACTGTGTGTACAGACAAAATTTGGTTCTGTAAAATTCCCTCATTAAAGGCCAACTGTGGAGTAATACACAATCCAACACATTGTATTATCAATATAACATTACTACTGTTAATGACGACCAGCAGGATCACTGAAATTTTTTTCTTTCTGACTTGCAGCTAAGTTTCCAATCACATCAAGCCATTACTGATGTTCCCAGCTGATTCTAAATGTAAGATGGAGGGAACGCAAAAATTATATACCACTTTCAAATTCATGTCTTATTGGATTTAATAGTAGAGGTGCACCGATCCAACACAATGTAATCGGGATCAGCACCTCTACTGACCTTATTAAGCAGATCAGGAATCAGACTTCAACTGAACATTAACTACAGTCCTTTCATCAGTGTGGTCATCAAATACAGCGATTCCTCAATCAGTTGTATTTATTCAGTCATGGCAGGCTGCCAACTAAGCCTTTAGTCTCAAAGCAAAGCCTGGCCTCATGTTACCTTAAATAAAAATGAGATCCACACAGTGAGGTAAACAAATGTTAAATTTAGGGAAAAGAGAGCACTGTTGTCAGAGAGGCAGAGCTTCAAGCATCGGGAGAGAAAAAGTTTGATTGAACTGAGTAAGTTGTCCTTCTCTTGCTTACCAAAGCAGCTCAGATGTGTTTTGAAAATATTGCCACTGAATATTGAACTTGTTAAGCAAAAGGATGACAAGTACATCCAGAATATTTTGGAGCACAGATCATTCACAAAGTTCTGTTGGAACAAACTGAATAAAAAAATAAAAAAAACTCACTCAATGAGTATTAACCAAAAACATGTTTGTTTGTATTTCACCCAGCTGCCACGCAGTTGGTGTACAGGCTGTTAGTGTTGTGTCATGCTCTGGTTTAATACCTTGTTTGTTGCTGGCATCCTGGGGGTGATGGCCAGAATGAGATCCTGGAGCGAAGTGCTCGTCACTGTACGTGATCAGCGGGGTGAGTGGGTGGACGGCATGAGACGGCTGCACCACAGGGACTTTGTTGGACTGTTGAGAAAAATACGAGGAGATTTGAAAACATAATAAAAGAGTAATGACATTATACATGAGCTTCAGCTGCTGCATTATTCCATGAGCAATATGGTTCCGTTCCCTGTCACATGATGTGAGGACTGGTAAGGCACACAGTGCAGGTGGTCTATTGTGCAGCACAGAGACTTCTTATAGATGTGGGTGAAGCTTATTAATATGGTCAAGAAAAAAAAGTTACCTAAAAACATTTCTTTTCTTTTAGTAGCCTGAGCCCAGCACCTAAAAACTTTGTTTAGCCTAGGTCAGCAGGATCGCAAACCCTATTCCCCCAAGGAAGGAGGAAAAACAAGTCAAAGAGGTGCATGAGCATGTTTGAGACAGCAAACGAGAGAAAGATGCAAGCAGAGCTGGAGCGAATAGGAGCAAGCAAGCGATAGAGCAAAGAGAGGGGAGAGAAAAGAGACTCGCAGGGTAGAGTTAGAGCAGAGGTCTTAGGCGGGAGATCAAAGGCAGTCATTAGCTGGTGAATAAGGGGAGTTCATTACAGAGCAAGAGCCGGGGGAAGGAGAGATGAGGGATGGAGGAGGAGGAGAAAGGGGGGTTGGCTATGGAGAGAGAGCGCGAGTGAGACAGATGTCTGTAGCGGTACTTAATGCAGGGGTAATCACGTCAACAGTGGCCTGGCCACAAGCCCCCCCATCCCCGGCTGACTCAGATAGACCTGCCTCCTGACAACTAAAATAGACCGAGCCAGGCCCAAAAAACCCCAGCCCCAACCCCCAGCCAACAGCGCTTACATGCTTCAGCAGCACTGAACACATGGTAATGCTTAGCCATGCTAAATCTACTATTTACAATCTGAGCCCAGAGCTGAGCTGGAGTCAAAATATCACCTCCACAGGATATATGGCTAATCGGAGAGACATCAGTTCACTGTTGGGTGAGACACGTCTCGCACCGAACAGCACCCACAAGCTTCGAATCAAAGAGAAAAACTTCATGAAATGGTAATCAGATGCTCCCACGGGAACAGTCACCTGATTAATAATGTTGTTGAAGATACTCATCTAAATTTAGTACGAGCATAAAATTCTGGAGACAAGATATAATCAAGGGACTGTTCTTTATTAGCTCTCACTTCGTTGTCCTAGTGAGGTGTGTGCCAAGGTGACATTCCTGTGGTACTAACTGGTGATTGGCACCCCCTCCCCCCCATCCACCCCACACAGACACACACACACACACACACACACACACACACACACACACACACAACGGCGTGGACATGGGTGGCTGGAATGTCTGAGTTTCCCCGAACCTCTCGCAGACTGGCACCACTCTCAACTTAAGACCCTCCTCCCCCCTTCTCCCCACCTTCTGGGAACGTCCTAACCAGGAACACCAAGGGCAGTATGTGTGGTGTGTGTCCAAAAAGAGCTCAGTGTCCCCAACCACACGAAGCGTCATCCACATCAGCTCCAAACCAGGCTAACAATCTCATCTCCCAGGGCCAAGTTTTTGCCCAGTTCCATATTTGATGAGTCTCGAACTCCATCATGTAGCGCAGTCTACATTGTACCATTTAAGGACTGCACAGCACGCTGCCTGAAAAAAAAAAAAAAAGAAAAAAAGAAAGACAAATCCTGCCTGAAAACTAATTAAGCCATGATGCAGCAGCTTTTCACGCTAGTCTAGGTGAGTCGTGTTCTTTGACCCTAGTTAACAAGAGTCAAAGGTGATGGGATAATCTGCAGGTGTGGGAGTGTCAAACCTCATCCTACAGAGGGGAGGGCTTATTAGTAAGGGCTGCTAACCCTAAAGGAGGGCTAACCAGGACCGGGGCGGCTGGGACATGCCTACACCAGGGGCTAAATGATAGCATTCTCGCCCATATTATTTTACGCCTCTCCACTCCCATTTGTTATTCTTTGGGAATGAGATAAGAACCTGGGGATTATCATTTTAGCTGGAAGTCTTCTCCAACTTGTAGCAAAGGGAACAGAAAGAAAAAAAGCAGAGTTGAAACAAAAGTTAGTCTCTCATACTTGTTCACACACATAAACTATGACATTTCAAAAAAAAAAAAAAGAAAAAAAAAAAAGAAAGTGATTTGACTCTTTACCACCCGAGAAAGCCAGAGCCTTCTACCATAGAAGAGAAGCCCTCTTTTGTGCTTCCCCCAGTTACAGCTGTCAAATCTTATTTTTCTCAACTTCTTAATAAACTGCCTCCATTGTGGCAAAATCCACCAGGGAAAAACCAGCAGGCCTCTGTGACTGATACAGAATTTATGGTTATTTGGGTGCACATTTACACAAACTGCATGCCCTAACTAACCATGGTTTACCTGAGGAAGAAAAGAAGAGCAATGAATTGTAATTCAGGCTACATACATCTTCCTCTCTCTCAAGATAGATACAATATGACTGTGAAAACTGTATTAGGGTTAAGTAAAATGTTCTGACTGTGTCTCTGTAGAGTTGCAATGAGCCAGCAGCCGTCATGGAGCCACCATTTTAATACTTCCAGGTGGAGACTTGTTGGCTTGCTGTGCCCACTTCACAGAGCTGTTGGCAAGCTCACAGACAAAAAGCACGACACCCTTTTACCAATTTCCTGGAGGAAGTAGTTGGAGACACTCAACTGACCACAACCGTGAGGGTCACGTCACATCACAGCGACTTGATCCCATCTCATCCCCATCCTGACTCTAAAAGCCCTCAGCAGCGGCAGCGGTCTTGCGATGGAGGGCAGCCATATTGGAGGTCCCTTTTATTATATAGGAGAAATAATAGGCTTAGGATCTTTCTATTCATATTTTTCAGGGAGAGCGAAAGAGGAGAGGCGGCAAGGATTGAAAAGAAAACGTTCCATTTGGAATTTCATATCCAGGCTTGGCCGGCCCTTTTAAAGAACCCCTCAGATGTGGTTTTAAGAGAAATTCATTGTGCGGAACTGGAGCTGGCAGGGAGCCCTCCATGGAGGAGACACTCCAGTGTGTTTCAGCACGGGGAGCCAGTGACTTGGCGTGCTGTCTGAAATTGGGGGTGGGGGAGGGAAATGGGACGTTTCGTTTTTTTTGTTTCTTTTTTGTTTTTTCTTCTGAGGGAGGATTTTTTATGACGGCACGCCGGTGTCTCTGAGCTTGTATTCTGTCAAATTCCACCAACATGCTGCCACGGTTTCTAAGCATGAGTGTGTGTTTGAATGTGTGTCTATGTGGTATATGGAATAACTATCCCTGCAATATTGCCTTTTTAGCATCTCTCTCCCTCTCTCCCCTCACAGCACGGCTTTTGTACTCCACTCAATTATACCACTTCTGCAGAGTGGAGTGGAAAAAAGGGAAAGCGGGAATTTTATAATAATCACTTCCCACTTCTGTAATTTATATGCAATGAGGACTCTTCGCGCCTGCAGCTACAATCAAGTGTGTAGAAACCATGTGAGGTGTTTCACAAACAGCTGGGGAGATGGCAGCTCAAGTGGCGGTGGCTATGGATTCCCATGCTGCTAAATCTTTTCACTAAGATGCCCTTCTCACCCCAAAACCCAACCTCACCTACTCAGGGGATTTTCTGCACTCTGGAGGAAAAGGATGCACCGAAAAAAATAAAAGGCCCAGGATATTAGCAGGGGAAAAAAAGATGAGGCAGGAAACAGGGCAAATAGTATCAGCAATGGTTTACTGTAAATTTCCAATAAAAGTGAATAACTGGCCGAGAGCACACACCCTCTTGTCAGTGGAAACAGTAGCCAAAGACTGTATTTAAACAATCACAATGGTTCATAAAGATGACAAGATTACAGACAGAAAGCCTCTGTAAATGCTGAAAGTCTGAGTATGAAGCAAGGGTGTGCCCATTGCTGAAGTCATACAGAGTCACCCTCAGACCAGGTGTTCACTCTCAGGTGCGTTTGTGTGCAAGTTGTCCAACCTTTTCCCAACAAAAGTGAGCAAACATTCTCTCACAGTCTCCCATTTACAGCACAGACGAAAGAAAAGGGACTGTAACCCCCCCCCCCTCCCTCTTTACCAAAACCAGTGGAGACCAACCTGAGGAAGCTTAAATAAATAACCAATTACCATTCGTAGCGCGGGTTGAACCCCACCAGCTTCGAGTGGAGTGCTAAAAATGGAATGTTTTATTGGCAGGATGGCCCCTTAGCCAGGGGGCTTAATGTAACGAAACCCAATTAATGGAGAAGAAAGCCAGGCCGCCAGCAAGCGATGGAGCACCACGCGCCCGGGGTAATGAGACGAACAAGCGAAGCCAACCATAGGGACAGAAGTGGAGGAGGCTACAAATAACAGGAAAAGCCTGCCCTGGAGATAAATTAACATCAGTGAAGCCCCCCTCCCCAAAATCTCTTCTTCTCCCTCCTCTTTTCATTTCAAATCATAAATCCTGCGTGCTACTCAGAGTCCTAAAGTTGAAGAGAAGCAATGACACTGAAGGCTGAGGCTAGCTGGTTAAAAGGTGTGAGGGACAACACAAACTTGAAGGCAAGTGGTGTGAATTACTCACACAGCGAAAATAAGCATGTACCACATACACAATGTTATGGTTTTAGTGGCTAAGTTGCAGCACCAATTTATCGTGCGAGGAACCAACCTCTAAATACGACCGTTACACCCACACGGACGCACAACCCATATGCCAACACTTCACATTAACACATATGACCGACACATGCCACTGTATAAATATGGAATCCACACACACACACACACACACACACACACACACACACACACACACACCCCAACATCAACTCAAAAGGCACATAGACATGCTGTAAAATGTGGTTATGGTACATCGTGAAGGGATCAGACTGCAATAACCACGCGTTTAATGAATTTAACACATACATGCTACATATGAACACAAAGGAGCTATTAACAGCCAAGTTTCCTCTTTCCCAGCACCACCAAGCACAAGTGAATAGGACGAGGTGGATTACCCATCATCCTTCAGTTGGCATGAAGAGCGTGCGCTCCGAGCAAACCAATC